GATAAACTTATATTGATCTACCCCATAAAATAATGATTGTACCACGTGCCAGACTTTTAATCCGGCCAAGGATACAACACTAACCTTCGGTTGGAACCCCCATATCGTAAACCTAATACTAATTAGATCTACTATGATTGAATCTTCTTGAACAATGCCTGCCAAAAGGACGAACACCTTCAATGAAACTGTCGCCGCCGTATCTACATAAATCACCGATGAAACGGCCGCCATACTAGCAAACATCAACAAGGATGCCGCCGCCATACCTGCAAACATCGATAAAGATGTTGCCGTCATATTGTAGATTATAATCATCAAACTATTTATTATAACTAAATTAAAACACAACAAGAAGGCTAAACGATATGAGTAGAATTACAAAAATCAGGTTTTGCATTAATAATGGTATAAATAGGCAAAATGTTCTTGGTTTATCCAGACCGAAATCTAGTAAAATCAAACAAGTAGACTTGACAGCAAAATCTATTTCCTTGGTTTTATATTTTTCTTTTTTCAATCAAACGTTGCCAATGCTCAAATGCCAACCTCCAGAGTGACCAGTCAGATATATAGAATTGTACTCCATAAGATTATGAACCGCAGGTTGGTACTGTAATACTACACATTTATGCACTTTTCATCTGCCTAATAAAGTTAGTGTACATCTATTGATATGCTACGAATATCCACTGGCTGTAATCTGATTTTAGATTTTGGAGCAGTGCAAAATTGAAGCCTAACAAATGGACTCATCATCCGTCTACTCCGATGGATATGGAGCTATCTAGAGTGGCGGACATCGTTTTCCAGTACCTAAAGAAGAGTCAGGAATGCGACTGAATCGTTGAATACTTGCATCTTCAACATTGTAAATCCCCAGATCCCCAACACCCCTTAAGTCTTGCTGAATTGCAAGAGTGTAACTTTTTTTTTTTCAAGCAAACAAAGAGGATATGAGACTATTTTCAGGTCCCGGTTGACTTATAAAATACTCAAGGGGTATACACAAGAGCTATTTTATAAAGTAACCAGTACTATACGATACTATAGAGTATACCCAAGGGATGGACATAAATATCATATAGTTCCCTAGATTCGTCTCTACTCATGATTTTATTAATGTTCCTCAAAACAAACGAAGCCGGCAGTGCATAAAACTTATCTGCTATACCTCAAACAAAGCGAGTCTAATATACGGAAAGGATGATTTATCAAGTATCAGTAACCCTTTTACAACTCGTGGCAAAGACTCTGAATTAGAGTACATTTTTGAGGATCCATTAGATGGATATTTCGCTAATCTATCTGCAACCGAATTAGCCTCCCTGTATATATGCAAAACTTGATAATTATTCTTTTGAATGATAAAAATCATTTCCTGCAAAATAGAGTAATAACTCCACAAAACCCCCTTTTCCAACTTCAATATATCCACTAAAACCTTATTATCAATTTGAAGCGTCACATTTGAAAGACTCAGCAGATTGCATTTTCGCAGGCCAAATAGAGCTCTGAAAACCTCAGCTTTAAAGCTATCTCTGTCCCCCAAATAACTACTTTCTCCATACACAAAAACACCACCTTCTCCTCTGATCGCAAAGCCATAACCATCATCATCAACACGAGAGGAGCCATCCGTGTTTAAAATATAAGAATTCGCAACCAGAGGTATCCAAGTTACCCTCCAAATCCTTGGTCGAATTACTCGACTTAGGTTGACACCAAATAGTTCCCTGAAAAGTTCCTTTTCTACCTCACTTCGAGCCTTCAAACTTTTCACTATCAAAACAGATTGAAATGATCCGTAATTGCACCAACAATGAACTGAAAATTAACCCTAACTCCATTATAAATCACCTTATTACGTGCCTTCCAGAGAATAATCAAAGGAAGAAGCTTACGAAAAGCACCATAAGCTGTCTTGATGTCGCCCTTCTGCCACCATTTTCTAAGCATCGAATCAAAAGAAAAGCTCCCTGTTACATTGAGGGAAATCATAGCTGCAAAGTGTAACCATATCTGCCAGCTCAAAGAACACCGAATAAAACAAGGTTTAAGATCATCATCATAAGCAAAACAAAAATGACAAACCGAAGGCAAGATATTGATTCCCATTCTGGCTAGAACAGCTGGAAAAGCCAACAGATTATTCCGCAATCTCCATGTAAAAATTGATATTTTTGTCGGGGCGATCGAATTCCAAACATTCTTCAACTAACTCTCCTCTCCAAGCAGGCGACGCATAACCTCATAAGCTGTTTTAACTGAAAAAGCCCCGTGAGAGGTGCATTGCCAAAACAACAAATCACCATCATCCTGAAAATCATGACAAAAATGAGCAAGGAATCTAGTAATATTTGCAGGAAGCATATCTTGAACCATACTTAGATTTTGACGTCTATTTAGGAAAAAATCCCTGATGGTCATATGTGGAAAAGGAAGAGTTTCATGATGTTCCCCAGCAAGCACTCCAAATGGTGACCAATTGTCACACCAAAATGAGCTATTTCCTCTTCGCACAATGACCTTAGTATGGTGTATAACACGCCGCTCAACCTTCACAACACGCCTCCATGATGTTTTCCTTTTTGCTGATAGAGATAAAGAATTAAGAAATCTACTCCATATACCACATTGCCGTTTCCATTTAAGAATGAGTCGACCGCCTTGACTTAAGAATTTACTTCTCGAACTCAATAGCTTGCTTTTCATGTTATCCAAAAGAAATTGATACGTCGCTGCCCTGCACCTCCCTTTAAACAACTGACAACCAAGGTAAACAAATGGCAAGCTCACCTTTTGAATCCCTAGCTCATTTTGAATAATTTATATCCTTTGCGCCGGACAATTATCAGCAACAAAGAAAGAACTTTTTTATTTTAATTCCTCGGAAAGATTGAAAAAGCCAACCGGACCTCCATTTATCATAACTGAAAACCAACTATTGCGCAAATTGTTCATGATCAAATTGACAAAGGCATTCGGAAAACCAAATTTGAGCAGCACCCTCTCCAAGAAGCTCTATTTCACCCTATCGAATGCCTTCATCATGTCTAATTTCAAAACAAAATTCCTCCCCTCATACTTTTGATTGAGAAATTGACATAAATCTTGCGCAAGTAACACATTATCAAAAATATCTCTCCCTTCCAAAAAAGCCGATTGCTCCTCCGATATGATTTTCGACAGAACCTTTTTCAATCTTTCTGTAATCACCTAAGTGAAAACCTTATTCAGAAAGTTGCACAGACTAATTGGTCTATAATCAGAAAAGGTGTTAACCACGGCTTTCTTCAGAATGAGAGTGATAAGTGTACTTGAAATAGCTAGAGGTATAGGAATTCCAAGCATAAATTCCCGGCAAGCCGAGTAAAGATCATTAGCAACAATGTCCCAGCATGATCTATAGAATGTTCCTCCAAAACCATCTATCCCCGGCGCACTATCTTCACTCAAATTAAAAAACGCTTCCTTGATCTCCTCCATGTTAATTAGACGCAAACAATAACACTACATCTTCAGAAGTTAGAACCAATGGTATATGTTCCAAAGACAATGATTGCGCATCATCTCTTCTTCCATTATCCTCATCTTCATTCAAAAGACCTTGAAAGAACCTCACTGCTTCTAGATCAATTTCAGCACTAGAAGTAAGCATTTGGCCAGCCTCTGACCGAATTTTAAAAATGCTTTGCTTAATTCTTCTTTCCTTCAAAGTAGCATGAAAAAAGGCCGTATTAGCATCCCCTTCTTTTAACCACTTCAATTTCATCTTCTACGACTAAAAATCTTCATGCTCTTTAAGCATCAAAAGCAAATTAGCTTTGGCTTCACTAAGGATAACCGGATCTTGATCTGACCTTGATAAATCATAGACATTTTCAAGTCGCTGCACATTCTCCTCCGCCAATCTTATATTTTCAAAAACATCTCCAAACACTTCTTTATTCTATTGTTTTAGTTTTAACTTCAGACGCCTGAGTTTCAGAGAGAACCTTAGCATTCCGGTTTGCTCAATTGGCTGATCCCAACAATCTTGAACCACCTTCTTAACCCCTTCCCAACGCATCCACATTTTCTAAAACGTAAAGATCTTTGGCTTGCTCTCGCCTTGCGCAGCAAATAAGTGCAACAAAGGACTATGGTCAGATGTGGTCATTCTCTACAGAAGAACTTGGAAAGTAGTCATTCCATTCCTTAGAGATCAAAATTCTATAGTTTTTTGCTCACCCAGCCTGTAGACCTATTACCGCCCCATGTCAACTCTTCACCAATTGTTGGTAGTTCAAGTAGATCACATTCAAAGATACAATCATTAAACTCCGACATGGCCGCATGATCCTGAACTGAGACTCCTGAATATTCCTCTAATGATCGAATTACGTTGAAGTCCCCAGCAACCATCCATGGAGAGTTAGCATACCGCTGTCGATACGCAGTTAAGCTCCTCCACAAAGATTGCCGCGCCAACCTATTTGTTTTTGCATACACAGCCGATAAGTAGAACCTTTCAGCAACATTAACATCAGTAACCTCAATATGCAAAACTTGCTTTTCATCAGCTAACATAGAGAGTGAAAATTTCCGCTGACTGAACACCCAAATTTTGCTAGAATCCGAAGAAAACGCAGAATCAAAACCCAACTCTCTTCTTATACTCTCAATCTACCTCAAATCCAACATAGGTTCAAGAATTATTAAAAAAGAAACCCTACATCTTTGAATCAATGTTCTCAACCGCCGCTGCGATGCTTGATTCCTTATTCCTCTAATGTTCCAAATTATTTGACTGAACATAGAATCTAATAATGAGGGAAATGGAACATTTTATTGCAGTGGCGAAGACTGCCTTGGCACAAAGCCATCAAGCAACTTCTCCTTTTCATCCTTAGACTTCCGACCATGCTTTTTATGTATCAAAACTTCCCCTTGTGCCGGTTCTGTAACATGAGCATTCTCAATGTTGCCATCATGCCAACTTCCCCGGTCAATATCATCTAGATCATCTGCTCAGTATCTATCCCCAGCATATCATCATCCAAATAGGTTCCCACATCCAAGGGACTTGTGCTACCCAACAGATTCACATCGCGCGCTGTGTCATCTAACACAGGAGCATTCTGAATTTTATGCTGCGGTAGAGGATCTTCAACATATACATCTTCCACTTTTTCGTCTCCTTCGTCATCGACGACTTCATGGGATTCATCCTCAAGAACTGCAAAATGGTTGGAGGTTTCCATATCAGGGATTGTTTCAGTTGTAGGAAGATGATCAGCAGTCGCATTTCCAGTTTCATCAACATGTGAGCCCGATTGTGGCAAAGGAACAAAATCACCTTGCACTTTATTACTTTGCTAAATAATTGTATCCACAACCTGATCATGATGAGCCAAAGTAGGGCTGGCCAAAATATCAATAAGAATGTCACTTTTCTCCTTCGCCGACAAACAGGAAGTCAATCCACCAGTGCGCACCTCTAGGGTTTGCGCATCTAGGGTTAGCAACACACGGGGCTGTAATTCTTTAACTGGTGGTCCAACCGCTCTAATAATTAGAGGTTGCGTTTGCAAAATCTCAACATCAAGCTCTGGAATCGCCTTCTTGGCTTTGGAACCCCAGGTAACTTTTGATTGCTGCAATTTAAATCCTTTCTTCTTCGGAATTCGATCATGCTCCTTCGCAACTTCATTCACTAGCGGCAGCGATTTCCCAACTCTACAGTCGCTCAATTTATGTCCAATCTTGCAACACTTGGAGCAATATGATGGAACATGTTCATATGTGAAGATTTGCTCATGGTCCGGCATTTGTTTCCAGTCCTCACAGATTTCGGGAGATCCTTCATAAGGTCGACTTCTACGCAAAAATGCGCAACCGACGGCCTTGTCATATTCAAAGTGGGAGTATCAACCTTTAGAGGCTGTCCAATATCTGATGCCATCGAGAAATTAACCTCCGGGTGCATAAATTCAACCGGTAGATCATAAAGAGATACCCAAATCGGAACAACGGGGGGATCTTCCTCAAAACAAAATCTCGGTGTCCACTTCAAAATGCGCATTGAGAAGCCCGCAATATTCTAAAACGTTCTAATCCAATATCTTTGATAGTCATCTTCTTCCTTAAATCGGATCAAAGTGTGTCTAGGGTTCATGAGACCCAATGTATAGCCACCATTGAAGCCAATCTTCTTGAACTCCATATGGATTTACTCCATCTTAGGGCGACCATACGAGAATTTTCCCACAAGACTCAATCGATGCGGGGCAATGAGCTTTTCAAATTCATCATCCTCATACTCCAATATAGGAGTACCATTGATAAACTTTACTTATTTAATGAGCGAGTTTTGGCTTGTTTCAGATGCTGAGGGATTTTGGAAAAAACTTGCAAACGTTTTCGGTGGTTTTGGAGGTGCAATCGGCAGCTGATCGCCAGCCATGATGGCCAGGAGGAAGGCGTGGAACCGTCATTTCTAGGTCTTGGCTAGAGAGAACCAAGGGTAATTATTTTGTTCTCCTAAGATATTCAAATTTCTGAAGGTTTTTTATGGAATCATCTGTGAAGTAAATGCTGTTGGACTTAATAACCCCAGGAAAGGCGGAAGCCGGCATAGAGAAAGTAGCATTGTGGCCAACAAAAATAGTGTCGTCTCCCAAATTATTGATCTCCTTCCACTGGCTTTTGATCACATCAAATTGAATGACCCGAAAGTTACTAACCCGACCAAAATTACCATCGTTATTGAAACAAACCTCCCTTATGAGAATTAGTGGATATCCACCTGATGATGATTCCACTAAATATGGTAGATTGAGGCAGTACAGTAATGGATGATTGATGTTTACCTGGTGGCAGACCTTGATGTTATCAAATGCAAATTCCTAGATGCAAATTTGACGCAGGTTACTGATAGCATAAAACTTACCATTATAGTAATAACATCCCAAAAGCTGAAGAACCAATGGGTTGGGCCGAAAATCCTTTTCCATCTCAGACTGTTGGAGTTCCAATATCTCAAGGAGTGATTGTGACTGTGAATCACCACCAGAACAAAATCCGATGCATGGGAAGGATTACCTTACAAAACTGCTCTTTTAATGGATGAAGCCTCACTGGGAAGCTGGATATGGGCACGAGAAAAAGGGTTCAACAAAGTCATCTCCCCTGAATTACCTACTGTTAGTAACCACCCAAATCCTGCTCCTATACAGAGCTTACCCTTTGCCTCCGGGAGTGGTAATTTCATCATAACCTTTCTTCTGGATAGGCTGTAGAATTCACGTTTGACGTCGTTGCTAGCTTCCTTTTCTGCAAGCATAAGCAATGGAGGAATCTAAGAGCAAGACTTGCCAAAAATATCCTTGCTTGCTGCAGCTCGCCAGAAACTATAGACCCCTCGGAACACTAGGAAATGTTCCATCGATGGTATACGTGATGCTATCTCCACCAGCATCTCCTGTGAAAAGCCCGATTAGTCTCTCTAAGCTTCCATGGATAAATTCCTAAATTCAAGATCCTAATCAGTCAAGGAAATCAGAGCAAAATTAATTTAGTGGCGAATAAGGCAGCAAACGTTTAGTGGTTTGGCTTCTTCAGTGGGAGGTGGAGGCCAGGAGGATCAACAAAGATAGTTATTAGAAAGAAAAGAACTCCTGAACTCATATAATAGGTTATTATCAATCCTAATCCTTATTCCTTATAGCCAGGTAACAAAATCGATCATAAAATAGAAGCATACCAATCAAGAAGAGCAAAAAACATTCTCCAGATTCCTAAAGTAAAAAATCAATGCTAAAAGAATTCGTTTTGAATTTACATCTAGATAGAATTTCACACAGATATCATAAAACTAAGGCTACAGAAAAGAATTTACTACTGAAATCAAGAATATCCTCAATTTTCCTAACAGCAAATTAGACTTTCAAACACAATCTCCAATCCTTTTCCATTGGAGTTGCTGAGATTCAGCAAAGCTTCAGAGTCAAAACCTTAATCACAAACATTTACATTCAATTTGGAGAAACTCTTTCAACTCTCCGCTGCTCCTCCAATTCCATTCAAACACATCACATAATGGAAGACCCAATACAGGAAGAGAATAATTAAATAAACTAAAACCCCCAATCAAAAACCCTGAATCAGGGCACTAATTAATAACTTGATCATCGATTTTTGACTCCATCCAAAAATAGATTGACAATCAAAAGCATCATGAACGAATAATCATGACTTAAGAATTAATGGGTTTTTTTTTTTTTTACCTCAAGGTTTGTGAATTGTGGTGGCTTGAGCGACGGTACCGATGCTCAGAAAAGCCTAGACATCTTTTTCTGAGATTGCTTGACGATTGTTTCGCCGGACGTGGGACGAATCTAAGTATATATAAGGGGGAGTTCACCGGCCATGGACCTGTTTAGGTACGGTGGCCGGTCGCTCTCCCCCACACGTGTAAATCGCCTATTAGCTATCTTCGCTATGGCTTCTTTTCACCCGTTCCTACCGGTCTGTTTTTTTGCCGAAGGTGTCAGATTGAAACCTACCATCATTCTTCTTTGATGCTTCACTTCTCCAACTCGAATCACTGCATCAACCATTAAACACTATAATTTCTCCAATTGGATCCATATTCTGATCGGCCATCTTCTTCCAATCTAGTTTCCGTCGCCGCACCAGTTCTTTCCCCACAAATAATTGAACCTCTTTTTGACCGATTTGATGCGATTGAGGGGCACGGGTAGTTTAGGTTCCGGCTAAAATCTCATCCATTATGGCGGCATTCTAAATCTTTTGTTGTGGCAGTGATGGCGTAAAGGATAAGCTGGCCCCGAGGGTGGCGCTTACAGTTAACGAATCAGCTAAATAATGGTAAGGTAACCAATTTTTAGAAGCTTGTGGGGTTGTTCTTTATTTCAAAATTTTATTTGATTCGGTTCAAATCCACTGTCTTTGGTTGATTCATACTAAACGGGGTGTTTTTTTCCAAATTCTTGGTCTGGGTAACTGCCCATGGAGTTGCTTTCATGACATTTTTTTTAAGGATCAGAGCCAGGACTCGGGTGGGTTTACTCGGATTAGTTTTGAGGTTCATTTTAATGAAGGGAAAGTCTAAATTTCAATTGTTATTGATGGACTGTTGTTAGACAAAGCATAACTTAAATAGAATTATATTAGTGTTTGTTTTCGTGGGTGCAGGGTGCTATAAAACATCACCTACATCCCAAACTATGCTGCTCGGTCTGCACATGAAGTGTTTTTTTTTTTTTTTCCCTTAGAGAGTGTATTGATTAGTTTCTTAGTTTTTTGAATTAATGTGATGATAGCCGAGAAGTAGAACGCCAAACACGATAAATCTGATAAGGTTAATTACTATTTCATTTTCGATTCTTCATTTCCGATTCTTTGTTCTATTTTGTGTAGTTAAGATGGTAGGTATCATAAATTTGTCAATTCAATTCAAACTCATTTCCAATTCTCTGTTCTATTTTGTGTAGTTAAAATGGTAGGTATCATAAATTCGTCAATTCAATTTCCAGTTTGACTTCTGTAAATGTAAAGAAGAGAATGAATAGCTAATAGTGTTTGGATTCTGTTTTGTTTATCAGAAACATGAAGGTTTTGCTCAGAAGAGCGGAAGAAGAGGTATATGGCGATGCCATTGGCCTTGAGTTTCTAGAGTTCAAGTACTTTCTTGTCTAAAATGGAATGAATAATGTAATCTCATGACTGTTGAACTTGATGACTCACAGACGAGTCCTTAATCCTTTAATAAGGAGTTGTTATGTTTCTAACTCCTTGTTCATATTTGCAATCACATGTCTTTTTCTGTTAACATGGTTAATGGTTATGAATATATGCATATTTTGCCTTTCCTCGATGTTGTATGGTTTTCCGGAAGCATAAATCTTCATATTGTTTTCGGTCTGATACGTTTTAATTTTCATTCCTGGAGGTAACGCGGTTGATATACAAGTCTCTTTCAGTTATCATGGTGGAGATTTTTTGTGTCCAGATTGTGTTTGTTGATGGAAAAATTCTCTGTTCTGATAGCTCCACGATCATGAACTTATGATTGACTCCTTAACAACATCTGAGTTTGGAGCTTGCAGTTTTACTTTCTGTAGCCATTGTCTTCTTGATTACTTTTGGGCTCTGGGAGTGATTATGATTATGATGGTCTCCATACTGACAATAGAAGGCAACCTGGGTGTGGGGTATTATTTTAAAGGGAAGTGGCAAATAAGTTGTTGAATTTCCCCTGTAGAAGAACAAGCCTTATCGCCACCATTCTGGAGCTTAGTTAATAGTTCGAGCTTGATCTTTTGAATGGTGGTAGCTTCTGGTTGATAAAGCCTATCCAACCGCCTCCATTATTCTCCTTGTTTATTGCGCTTCAGTCTTTGATGAAATATGTCTAGCCATTCTACGGCCACATCCATATGCCCTGCTGAAGAAATCAAGTCAGGTGGTTTTGCCTATCTAGGACCGGAGTCAGGTGATTTGCTATTAGTTTTTTTTTTTTACTGTAAAAACTGACTTGACAATGAAGCTGAAGATGTTTTTGTGCATACAAATTTTGAGCGCTGTAAATTTATAGATGGTCAAAAATTTGTGAAAACCAAGGTCGTGTTCGATATGAAATTAAGTAATTGGGAAGAAAGGGTTCTAAATAGGCATATTTGAAGGAAAAGCTAAGCAAATTGATCTTGCGGCAACGCCTATAGAAACATGTGATGCCTCGGTTAAACAAGTTCGTTCTGGAACTTCTGTTAAGAATGCTTTGGTTTGTCAAGTCAGTATATTTGAAACTGGAAAATGGAGTGGAATTAATCATGTGGCTAGTATTGGTATGAGTATTTTGGGCAGATGGAATGTGAAATAGGTGCAGCTAAAAACTTAGCCCATGTATGGAATTCGTTTGATACTGGCAAGCAAAAACCAATAGGTGATGCTTTGAATACATTGAAAGAGAAGTAATTCCAAATCACAAGCTGTCTAGAGTTCAGAAGGATGAAGTGAAACTGAACTGATGTATAGGAGACACTCTATACCATGCTTTGTGTTGGGAAATAATTTGCCTTATAAATTACTAGGGATGCTTTAATATTGCGGTGATTCATTACTTGGTCTACAAAAACCTGTGTTGGATTCACATTTGGTGTTGCCAATTCAGTTCCACCATTTGGTTCTTTAGTTCAGGAGCCATTGCAAGAATTTGAATCTTTGATCTTTAATTCAAAGCAATTTTAGGATAATTTCATTCAATCTCCCAAATCTCATGGATGAGACGCCAAACTGGATTTTGTTAAATAGCATTTCAGAAGTTCATAGAGTAACCACAAAAGTAAGCCTAACGCACGTTAAGAATGGTGTAATGCATTTTGTTAAGCCGATAATAAAATTGGAACCTCTTGAGGAGTCATCAAAATCCGGGCTATCACTTACCCTAAGGTGCGGCCACAAAGCCTAGTAAGTGAAAAAGATTGACTATAATCTAAGTCAAGTCATGCTTTGACTAAATTAATGAAAACTTTTTCTTCTTCTTTTTTTTTTTTCTAAATGAGAACTACAACTTTATTAAGTTCGCTAAATGAGAAACACTCGAAATCATTGTCCAAAGTTTTTTACTCATATCTTGAAAAAATAACCCAATTCGAAAAAATTAGAATTTATAAATTGCATGGATTAATTTTTAGAACCGAAAAATTGATCTGAAAAATTAAATAAAATATCATGTAAATTATCAATTTTCATAATCTTTCCGTCCTAAAATTATTGTCTAGTCTGAATTCTCACTTTTAGTACAACTAAAAGTGAAAATTTAGATTGGACAATAATTTTGAGACGGGGAGAATAATAATTAGCAAATGGTATAAATCTAGTTCGTAAATCTAATTTTATAATTTTAATTTACAAAAATCGAGACAAAACCCATACTTCTTTTTAATATAAACATGACAATATTTGAGATGAAAGCGAGTACTAGTCACGAAACAACAACTACTTGCAAACTAAGCTATAAACTATATACATAGTTGCGTTTATACTTTAATAAATGTTTGTCAACCTATACGGTCAAATCATTTCATGAAAGGGTGGTACTTTTTGCAGTACACTAAATTCACTGGTAGTCTATTTGGACATTTTTACCCATGTCCCCTTTCTATTCTTCATTTCTTCTTCTCCCTCTTTCATTATTCTCCAACTTCTTCTTCTTCTTCTTCTTCTTCCTTTTTTAAAATTTTAAATTCAGATTTACCACAAATCAAAGTTTAAAAAAAATGTCGAAATAAGACAGACAATCACGAGAAGGCTTGCTCTAGAATCCGATAAACTTTTTTTTTCCCAAAAATATTTTGAAAAAAACAAAAATAAAAAAATTCCCGCCCAAGGTGGCCAGCGGTTGACCGGCCACCCTAGGCAGAATTTTGATTTTTAAATTTTTTTTTCAAATTTTTTATTTTTATTTTTTGTGTAATTGTTATTATTTTTTTATATTTGATTTATTTTTATTTTTTTGTGTTATATTTAATTCTTTAATAACATGTTTAATTTAATTTAATTCATTAGGTATAATTAATTTAATTTAATAATTAGTGTAGATTAAATGGAGATTAGGTATAATAAGTTTTTTTATTATATCATTATAATTTATTTGTTATATTCAAATAAAGAATGCACTAGATATTATAGTAAAATGACATGATAAATATATGTTGAGTAGGTTTTCGTAATTTAATTTATTTATATTTGTTTAATTTAATTAAATATAAATGAGAAGTTGTTAATCAGGTATGTGGTATTTAGCTAGTATTAATTTGTAGGATTTATTAATATTGTTAACGTGAATGAATTAGTTATATTTGTTATGTATATTTTATTGTTAACGTGCAGTATGTCAATGCCGCTTGGTTAGTTCACAGGGAGAAATGGTCTCATGCGTGGACAAATGGGGTGACACACCTTGGAAACACAAGTATTTGTAGGGTGGAGAGTCTCCATAGTGCCATGAAGAGATTTCTTGACTCGGCGACCTGTCAGTTGGATACAATGTGGAACAGAATCTAAGCAGCGATCGAGCATCAATTAACTGAGATCAAGTACATGATTCGTTCATTGTTTATTTTTGGGTTTAATACTTAATTACCAATAGTCTTATATTAAAAATGAGGAATTTAAAAAACAGGTTCAGTCTAACCGAATCAGTACGCCATTCGAGCAAAGATCACCTTCAATTTCCCTATGACCATCTAGCTAGACGTGTCTAACATTACTACTTAGACATCCTTCAAAGTGAGTTTACTCACATTCAACAATTGGGTGAGGATGACATTTGTAATTGTATATTGAAAACGACTCATGGAATCCCCTGTACATGCGAGCTTAAACAGAGAATGGAGTCGTAGTTGCCCATTACAGTAGCTGACCTCCACCCTTTTTGGAGCAGACTTAATTATACAGATTTTTCCCTTTGCCTCCCGGGGTGGTAACCTCATGACAATCTTGGTTCTCGATAGGCTGTAAAAAATCCCGTTTGCCCTCGTTGTCGCAACGGCCTTCGTTTTCTGCGAGCAAAAGCAATGGGAGAACCCTAGCGCACAACTTACCAAACTTATCCTTGCTCGCGGCAGCTCGCCATGATCTGCAAAACCCTTTGGAAAGCGAAGAAATCTTCTAGCGACGGTCTATGTGTCACTATCTCTAGTAGCATCTCCTGTACAAGGCTCGACCAATCCCTCCTCCGAGCTTCCATTGTGGAATTCTCTTAGATTTTGGGATTTATTACCAAAAAAAACAATCAGAAAAAATTAATCATTGCAAAGATATATATAGACAGTGTTCGTAAATTCCATATCGTCATATATATACTGCTAGTTGGATTTGGATTTGGAGAGTATAGAGACCAAAGGGTTTTGGATTTGAATTTAATGTATTGAGACAAAAGTTATTCCTTAATGAGTGCATTACTAAAGTTTGTATTATTAACTTGTCTCTTTGTGTACAGATTTCTTCCTACTTAGTTGATAATTTAGTTTTCATTATTGGAATTTGGAAAGATACATACGAAATTTGTAGAGTAGTTTAGAAATGTAAGCTGGATTAGAAAAGTCGAAAGTGAAAGCTTAAGTAGAAAGAAATTAAAATTAATTGTGGAGGTACTATAATACGTAGTTGGATACACATATGGAAACTACCAAAAAAGAAAAACGTATTGCTAAATTATCCAATCAGAACTTTAATCGGATTTTCCAATATATTAATTACCGAAAAACAAAAAGTCTTAATCCTATTAAAAATCGACCAAAAATAGCCTCTGATTCCTATCAGGAAAAGAAAAACTCCTTCCAATCGCCTGTTATATAAAGAACGCTACTTACAACTTCGGCCCCTCACAGAAAAACTGAAAACTCTCTTCTGATTTCTCTTGCCACCGCCTTAGCGATATCTTCCGGCCTTCCATAATTCTTCTTTGAAAAGATCATTAACCAGAATGGCTCAACCGATTGGATTCGATGAGGGTTGGCAAATCGTGCAGGGAGCTCTAACAAAGCTTGAGAAAAGTATCCTGGAAGGTAAACCTGAACCGCTGTTCACCTCGGAAGAGTACATGACCGTTTACCACGCTATTTACTTGTTGTGTGTCCAGAGAGAAGGGAACAATTACTATCAAGCTTTGTATGACAAATACAAGCAGGGTTTTGAAGATTATCTCTCGTCGGTGGTTTTGCCGTCTCTACAAGGAAAACAAGATGCTGGTCATGAATCCCTGTTGAGAGAGTTTGTCAAGAGATGGTCTGATCACAAAGTCATGGTGAGGTGGAAGTCGTGGTTCTTTCAATACCTTGATCGGTACTTTGCTAAGAGGGATGGTATTCCTGGCGTAACTGAAGTTGGATTTAATTGTTTCCGAGATGTAGTTTACTCAAACGTAAAGGGAAAAGTCCAGGACGCTGTTTGTTTCTTGATTGACCAAGAGCGTAAGGGAGAGCGGGAAATTGATGGAGCCCTAATTGATGATGTTGCTGATGTTCTTGCTGAGATTGGGCGCGGTAGAATGAATCTTTATGAGAATGAACCAAAGTCGGTCGAGCGTGTACGACAAGCGTTATCGTCTGTTGCTTTCTAATTAAAAAACTCCGGAACTCCGTGGCAGGCAACCAAAAAAAAAAAGAAAAAAGAGGGCACTAGATAAGGTTTATTGGTTTAAGGAATTCTTTTTTATTATTTAAGTTGATTTTATTATGGGAAATTAGTTTCACTGTTGTTTGGATTTCTTTTTTTTTTTCCTTATAATAAAGTATTTTCCCGTCAGCTGGGCACCAATTTTTTCTAAATGCCTTTGCGGTTACTCGGTTGCTTGAATTAATCACTAGAAATAATATCCAATATCTGGTTAGAAAGGAAGACAAGGAGTTTTGAAGGGATTGCTAGAATCGCTCTAACCTCAATAACCTTCGGAGGCTTTATCTTGTGATGTTAAGTCTTTCGGGAGGTTTCAATGCCTACGTTTTTAACATATATTGTAGATATTATCCACCGTCAATAATGTCGACTAATCTCTCTCAATGTGTTGCTGGTATTTCGATAATATTTTGTACATATATTGTAGATATTATCCACCATCAAATTTTCGATGCTATTAGAGTAACAGTAGCTATGTTTGTAGAATTCTTTTGTCTTTTAATTTCTTCCTTTGGAAAACGTGATTGATTTCTGAATACCTTGCGTGAAGTATCATCATATATCTGCCAACAAATACACCGTCTTGGCAAGAACATGATTGATGATAGTCCTCGAAAATGAATCTCTAGCTAAATCGATCAATAAGTACTTCAACAGTATTCAATCAGGGTGCTAGCTCAATAGTATTGTGATAGGGAACACTCTTGCAAAGAAGACACATTTTCATGGAGGATTACGAAACAAATTAAGTCTTAGTTGACCGATATTACAGATTGCAAATTGATCTTTTCGACTTCGGATTCTATGTTACAATTGAAAGGAGCTTGATGCTTAAATTTGTTCTTCAAAAACATTTCACCTAAATGTCAAAAAAATTCCTAGCCTTTTCGAAACTTAAAAATCAATCAAAAAGTGCAAAACTCATGCTGCTTCTTTGTGACATTTTTGGCTAGCTAATCTGATGAAGAGCACTTAGAGACTCTTTATTCAAGGTTTCTGAAGTGAATACAAAATAAAGTCAACTTGATGACATCTCACTACACACAGCAAAAAAAGCGGCAAAAAAGTGTCAACTCCTACTTCATTAAGTACCTAAAACATAAAATTAAAATTAAAAACCGAGCCAACAAATAACAATAGAATCTTGTTCTAGATGTAAATCAATCTCAATCTCCCAAAATAAATAAATAAATATATAATTTAAATTATCACATGCATTCTCACTATCCGATGCGCCAAAAAATGAATCAGTATGAAACGATGAAAACAAACATAAATGTTTTTTAAAAAATACTCCATCTGTCTTATAATTATTGTCCACTTTGCCCAAAAAATTTTGTCCCAAAATTATTGTCCAATTTGACTTTTTATGGATCAAGTTACACATTTGTCCTTAGTAAAAAACATTATCTATAAAATCTTAGTGGTTAAACAATTACTTATGTAGGGGTATATCCGGTTGTTTAAGGTAAAATATAGTTAATTTTGACCAAAAATAAAATCTTTCATTTTAGTAAAACTGGACAATAATTATGGGACGGAGGGAATAAAAAATAAAGAAATTAGTCCACTTCCTTATTAAATAGGCGGCATTGATTTTACCGGATGACAAATCTTCCCAAACACAAATGTGGTGAAATGTACTACTGAAAGCATAAAACTTGGAGATGATCCAGCATAAAACTTGCTGAAATGTTCTACCATGGTCCAGCATGAACGCAGCTATACATCATATATGGCTGGAGAGAAATTCCAGAAAATTTGGAGATGAACATCTGACAGCAAGGCGCACATTGGAGCTGATTCAGAAAGAGGTAAAATGGAAGATTGAATTCAATTATGGTAAAGGTAATAATGATGATATACGATACTTAGAGAAACTTGGAATCAATACTGGATGCTAATTATTTGTAATAGAACTATAGAAGGTTAGCCATGTAAATAACTTGTTCAGAAAGTAATACAAAGCTTCACATTTATCAAAAAAAGAAAGCATAAAACTTGCCATTGCATTAGGTTACATCCCTCCAGTAGAAGGGTTGATTGTGTAAACTTAAGCTCATCCAATTCTCATCTTTAGGACTCCAAAATTTGATGTGTGGAATGGATTAGCTGACAACACAGCTCTTTTCATCTCGCTTCCAACAGGATTTACCCTTTGCATCCGGGATTGGTAACCTCATGACAATCCTTTTCTCTGGTACGGTGTAAAATTCACGTTCGCCACCGCCTTTTTTTTCCGTGAGCATAAGCAACGGAAGAACCTACACCTCGTGATTTGATAAGTTACGAAGAACCGCTACTGATTTGCCAAAGCAGCAAAATAACTTCTATCCGTTATGCCCCTCAAAAGTAATATGAACCAGAGCTCATTGTATACATGTCACAAAACGGGTGCTTGACTTTTGGGTGAGTCAAACCCAAAATTGTGGAACAAAAAATGTGTAGGGTTTAAAAACTGGACAAATATAATGTTCTCGCGCTTTCAAAACGCGAAACAAGAAAATTAAATTAACAATTTGCGTTTGTGAAACGCGAACCCTGTACGAAAGAAAAAAAAACATTGAATTAAAAAAGGAAAACCATTTTTCGCGTTTTGGAAACGCGAAAAACCTAGATCGCGTTTCAGAAACGCGAAAAACTATTTTCACATTTTTAAAATGTGAAAAGCTATAAATTTTAAATTTTAAATAAATTGCGATTTGCAAATAACTATTTAGCGTTTTGAAAATGCGAAAAAAATTTTCTAGCGTTTTGAAAGCGCGAAAAATGAATTTAGCGTTTTCAAAACGCGAAAATATCCAGAAAATCTCCTCATTCACTCATTCGGCTTCACGTGTATTTTGATGATAAGTCTTGAATGTATTCGCGTTTTGTAGTCTGAGTATTATAGGCCAGCGTACTTTCCACGCGGACTCCTTTGGTTATGGTCGCTTAGGCGAGATTCCCCAGGTTGCTGAGCGGGCGTTGTCCGTCAATGCAACGAATGTTGTACGTCACGATTTCGATAGGCATGTTGAGGTTAATGACATTTTGAGTCAAGAACTTGCACCTGTAGACCTGACCCAGCAACATCCACCACCCAGACCTACGAGGCGTTCGCGCAGGTCTCAGCGTGGGCGTGGGGGACAAGAGACAATCACGCCCACTCAGCCACATCAGTCCTCCCAACATCATCAGTCTCATATCCCCTTCACTAACGGTTCATCCCATCAGTCTCCACACCATTCTCTACAGCATTCATCCCATCAGTCTCCACATCATTCTCCACATCATTCATCCCATCAGTCTCCACATCATTCTTCGCCGACCCAACAGGCGTTTTACCGTCCCATTATGTCTCCCTAGCACCAGCAGTCCCATTTTGCCTTCACTCAGTTTTCCTCCCCTCAGACTTCTCAGCCTCAGTTTCGAGATACTTTTATTGACTTTTCTGGGTTCCAGCAGAGTTCGCTAGATGGTCAGCCGATACATTACACGAGTAACTTTCTTTCGAGTATGTTCGAGGGTGTTGCGGGTCAGCATCAGGCTGATGACCCAGCTGGAGGTGAGCGTGAGAGTCAGGGTGAAGATGAGGCTGAGGATGAGGCTGAGGATGCAGACCAGAATGATCAGTTTGAGGGTCAGGGTTATCAGCGCCATGAGGAGCAGGGATCGAGTCACACTCTAGGGACTCCACCGTTGGCTGTGAGTAAAGGCCAGAGAGTGACGAAGGAGCCCGATAGATTGACTTATAGCCATTTCCGGGCTAAAAAGCCCAAGAAGAAGTAGGGTACTAGACTTCTTATGTAGTATTATTAGACTTGTATTTTTTTTTTTTCCTTTTGTTCATTTATGTTTTTTTTCCTTTTGTTATGACTTGTTTTATTTTTTCCCCTTTTATTATGACTTGTAGTATTTTGTTATGACTTGTATTAATATTCTTAATAGTTTGATTTCACCTGCATCGTTGCTACTTTATTAATATTTATCAAACACATCTTCGCCGATCAAATCTAAACACATCTTCAAACTTTCTTATATTTTTTTAATAATTAATAGTTGCTTCATCTTTTTTTTTTTATAAAACAAACAGCAAAGTATTTAGTTTATCCAAACAAAAGATGTAATTCTTAGCTCTTACATACCAACCGTCTATTAAAATTACCACATCCACAAAAGAATAGTACCAGATACCTAAAACAAACATTCAGTAAACTAAAGTTCTCTTCAAAATTCAGATGCGGTGCATTAAACAATCGCATTGACAGCACTTGCAATCCTAGGCCAAAGATCATCACAATCCTTTCCAATGGGACCAATGATTGCAGAACCTTTCATTTTTCCCTTGGGATTAACAATCACTCCAGCATTATCTTCAAAGTACATGTAGACACCGTCCTTTCGGCCCCATGGCTTGCGCTGGCGGACAATGACTGCGGGCATGACCTTCTTTCTGATTGAGATCCCCTTCTTGACGGTGGCCATAACCATGTCACCGACGCAATCAGAAGGGAGACGGTTGAGCCTACCCTTCATCCCTTCACTGAAATGATGTAAAGGTTCTTTACCCCGGTGTTGTCAGTGCAATTCACCGTCGCAGCCACTGGAAGACCCAGAGACATCCTGAACTTGTTACCTGCCGATCCTCCGCGTCCTCGCTTCGACATTTTTGTTGTCTCCCCTGTGAGGTTTCCGAAGAAGAGACAATAATTGCTTCATCTTAAGCGTTGGTAAATTATAATAAATATTTAATAAAATTTATTCATATTTTAAGCTTTTTTCTTATATTGAAACCGTCATGATTAATAAAAACAATTTGTAAATTAATATACATCTAATTAAATCCATAAAATTATGTCATTTATCATTATTGAAAATTTTTCATATAAAATTATTTTATAAAATAATGATTACATTTTTAATATAATTTTTTAAATATTTAATATAATTTTTTAATATACTCATTATTAAATTTTTATATAATGTTTTAAAAATTTAATACATTATAATAACTATATCATACTTTTAATAATTTATATTTAGAATAGCTCTATTTAATTTAATGAGTATCATTCTTATTCAAAATTTAATTTTCGTATTATTAAAATTATCAATATAATTTTCCTCTTTATAGCTCTATTCAAAATTTAATGATTACCAATTATAATTTTAAAATTTTGTGGTACCATTATTCAAATTTAATAATTTTTTGAAGTAAATTTTCCTATAACTTTTTAAACTAGGCAAAGTAATCAAATTTTTATGACTATTTCCTTTTTTTATTTAAATATAATATTTTTTTTTATTTTTTTTGCGCTTTGAAAACGCGAATCTTTATTTATTCAATTCTTTTACCATTAATTAATTAGGATTAAATTAAATTAATTACGATTTCTCATTTTTTAGTGTTTCTGAAATGCGAAAACTGATTTTTAGTATTTTCAAAACGCGAAATTTTTTTTTAGCGTTTTCAAAACGCGATTTTTTTTTCACGTGTTTGAAGCGCGAAAGAATTATTTTTTTCTACAATTAAAACCCTAGGTCTAGTTTGTTGTTCATAATTTTTTTAAAATATGTATAAGTAAATTTTCCGTCACAAAACTTTAATACAATCTATTGCAATTAAATTCGATTTCTTTCTTAACAAATTAATTTAATTATTACTACTGGACAACAGTTGGTTATCAAATTAGAAACTATAAGACATTATTTCATAATAACATTAGGTTTAATTTAATCAAGTTTACACTTTAAAAGATTGATGATTTCCATAAGTAACGAATCGAGTAACAAACACTATAGAGGGATGCTAACGAAATTTAATCAAAAGACTCAAAATATTCAAATCAACTTTGACTTTCCTCATGGAAAAGCCCTTTGACTTGTGCATAAAAAGACCAAAGTTTCTCCTCAATTTCAAACGTAAAAGTACGTCAAATCACTTTTCTATTTCTTCCTATTTACTTTAAGTAACGTATTTCACGATTGGGGGAAAAAAGAAATTCCATGATTCTTAACAATGTTGTTGGATACACATACATGTTACATTCATTTTTATAAAATCCTCTATGTATAGCGTATTGTATGATTTAAGGAATCGTACGATGCTTATTATGGTTTCAAAATGAGTCAGTAAAGCTTCTTCAGGAAAAAATTTCAAAAGACTTGAACAGATCGATTCGAAGTGAAAACATGAATGACAAATGCGCTTGGAGCTAGGTGCTTTCCCCGGTGTGAGAGAAAACATTACGATGAGTGAAAAAAATAACACTAGGATATGTGTATACATTTGATACACATATAGGAACTACCCAAAACGGAATGGTAAACGCACAATCAGAATTTATACGATCATCCATCCAACACACTAGGCTCTTCAGAAACCATGGGCTTGGTCATATTTCACCGTCGAGACGGATTTTATAAACAAAGAAAAGCTCCTTAATAGTAATGCTTTTTCCCTTGATTTAAATCGATCAAAGAAACAGTAGTACTTTGGTTTTTGAGAGCCATGATCAGCGTGTTTGGGTGACCAATTATTATAATGGGGTTTCTGTTGTTGTAATCAACTAATTCAATAATGATCATTGAATGATTGTGTTTTTAGGTTTTTAACATCTCTTTTTATATCGGCCGGATCTCACCAACGCTACCAAACTCCAACCTATGTGGTTGTATGTAATGCCATAGTTTAGAGACTTTACCGTAGGTTACTACTTTTATTTTACTATGACAAATGGTTCAGATAAGTGAACGTGGGTTACTTGTTAAAATTAGAGGAGTTTCTCCTTAGTTTAATCTATTTATGTACTCGTACCTCTTTATTTTATAGGAGGAAGAAACAGAAGAAGTTTTATGTTGTGTTCATCTTTAATTTATACAGTTTGATCCGACTCGAATAAGATGGTTATATTGTAACAAGTGAATAATTACCTTATATGTTAGTAATATTTATTAATACTATTTATGAATTAATTTGACTTGTGATTAACTAGCTAGTAACTGTCATTCACTCATTCTCGTCATCTGAAAAGTCAACATTAAGGACAAATTGCAACAGTATCGGGTTGTATGACTTGTTTGTCTATTTACTCCAACCTCTTAGGCGTACAAATCGGAAAACTTAATTGAAAAATATAATTTATTTTATTTTTTATTTTGGGACGAAGGTAATAATAATTTAAGTTGATGCTTCAACTTTAACGGTGAACTAGACAAAAATCATCAAACAATTACAAGTAGTGCAATTTGTATGCATTATTTAATACGTAATTAATCATTTAATATTACAAAGAGAGAAGATGAGTTCAGACCTCAGGAACCCAATATTTCATGGGCCGCTAGAATGCTCAGCGGCGTGATGTTTTACGGACACCCAACGTCTATCGCCGTCTCGGCTCAACTATCAGGGCAGGTAGTGTAGAAAATGTTAACCAGATCGTCAGGGATCACCGGGTTGTGGCGGAAACAGTCGATGCGGTAGTTTGGATGTGCAGTTGAGAAGATGGTAAGGCAACCTTTGCTCGAGACGAAAGGAATGCTAGTATGAGTGGGGAAAGTGGCGGATCTCGTGTGGTCGGCAATGGTTATGTGTTGATCATCGTCACTTTCGCCGTAAATAGTCAAGAACTGGCGTGATGAACCGTCCTGGAATAAGAGATGCAAAGAGGAATGTGTCTCCGTTGCAAGGGGAAGCCAGACCTCAGGGCATCCGTCGGTTCCGCGTTGAATGATATAGTCCTTCCCATCATAGGCGTCGTGAAAGCGGATCCGGAATTGGGTCAGGTTCTTGATTCTGTAAAGTGTGCAGTTGGACCCTTTGTTTGCTTGGGTCTTGGAGGAGGAGTTAACGACATCATTATTGGACACTTCCAACTTCTCACCAGCACATTCAGCAGATGGGTACAAAACATCCATCTTCTCCAGGGACGCGTATTCCGGGTTGGACTGTGGTTGGGTCGGTGTTGAAACCAAGTTCGGGTCGTTCATTTTTCACTTCTTTCAGGAAAGACTTGTAAAGCCGGGTCCTGGATTACTTCGCTTGTCAAATTAGGGCTTGTAATATTGAGGACAACAAGGACTGAGTAAAAGCCACAAGGGTTAAAGGTAGAGAAGAACTTTCACACAAATGTGCTACTAGTTACAACTCTCTCTACCAGATCGCCCTTGTAATAAGAGAATGAATTCTCAAAACCTTCTTTTTTTTTCTTTCTCTAACTGCTATATATATATTTCTCGCTCGTTAATACAAGGAGAAATAACCGAAATTGGGATGGTTCACAATGCCTCTACGTTAGGCTTTTTATAGGGAAGATCCACATCCAGGAGGCTTGGGTGTGAAAACCCGCATGTCTGAATGCTTCCACAGTTTAGTCTTGAGGTGAGTTAAATTCCAGGTTTGTTAGAAATAGAATTTTTTATTTTATTTTTTTTTTGTGTTGAACTTAAGTTAAATTCTAGGTTGTTGGTTTGTATAAAATAAAGATAAAAAATAACAGTACCAGGTTGTTAGAGATATTTTTTAGTTTTGAGTTAAGTTAATTTCCAGGTTGTTAGAGCTTTTTAGTCTTGAGATAAGTTAAATTTCATATCGTTGCAAGTAGTTCTTTTTTTTTTCCTGACTAAGTCCAGGTTTATGCTATAGATTCATATTCATTACGATTGATATTATATATTTTTTATTTCAAATTCATATTTGACAACTGAATTTTATATTATTATTGACTAAGTCCAGGTTTATATTATAATTTTCAGATTCATATTTGACTAATGATCCACAGAAGCTTTCAATATGGTTTGGAACAATGCTCATAGCAGTTTTCATGAGTATCCATTTTCCCAATAAATGGAGTTCTTCCGTGAACTGAAAGCTAGGGTTGCAAGATGTCTCCTTTGAATAATGATTTTAATTTATAGGATAAGCATTGATAGTTTTCGGTTAATAGTACGTATTAGTAAATTTAACATCTTATATCGAAAAGCATATAAATTTTCAATATGAACTTGAGCTAGCATGTTAGAGAGAACTTACAGTATTTAAGGTCATTGAATAAGCCAAAACATGGTTTCGGAATTGCTACTAAAATATTTCATTGTTCTCTCTTTTGGTGGGTTGCGGCTGCTGAAATTTGAAGCTAGAAGGGTTTAAGTGATCTGTATCACTTTCACCTTTAACTATATATCAATATGCAACCATCCACTTGTCTATAGTAGAAATATGGGAAATGAATTAATTTTCCTTAATTCTGTGTAATGTGGAAACAAGATTTTTTTTTTTACCAAAAAGAAAAAAAAAAAGAATACAACCATTCCAAGCTAATTCAAAAACCAAAGGGAAACTTCAAGTTTTAATTTAGATCCAGGTCAATGCACTAAAGGTTAGTGCCACAGTGAGACTGCAACTTAATTTGGTCAATAGGATTTCATTCACATATTTTTACTTCTCCTTCCAAACCTTAGCTTTCCTTGTTCTTCTTTTAACAATATTCTTTTTTTTAAAAGCAATCCAAATTCAGAGAGAGGTTTTACATCAGATTAGGTTTAGCATCCCTCATCCAGTAAGCAGATGGTCAAATATTCTCCAACCAACTACTGTCACAAAATAAAGGTACCATCTTAAAATTTACTACATATTGATGTATTACTACATATTGATGTTTGAGTTGATAGTACCATTATTAATCACATACTCTGTACATTGTAGATATTTGGTGTGGATTAGACATTCTAATTTTTCTAGCTCAAAGAGTTTATAAATAGGTGAAATATCCTTCACAATAGTGACATGGTATTCGTTGTCCCAACATTGTCTCTCAAACCCAATGGACTTACTCCAATGGGGTTACACACTATATCATAATTTAGAGATTATAACTTCTAGCTCAAGGAACTTATGAACATATAACAGATCCTTCACAATAGTAATGGGAGATTCTTTGTCTCGACATTTTCCCTCGAACCCGATGAGCTACTTACTCCAATAGAATTATACATCAAATCATAATTCAGAAGATATACTATTGGTTCAGTTCACAACTTTGAATATCCAGTTGGTTCCGTCACAACATAATTTTAATCTACAACTTTGGATATGCTGCTGGTTTAGTCAACAAAGCCAGACATACTACTGGCTTATTCCACAACTTCGGATATACTGTCAGGTCAGCCACAAGACCACAAACACGTGATTGGGTTCATATCATATAAACAAATATGCACAGTGGAATACTCACAATAATCCTTAACCAAGATATATGCGAATTACTAATAAATAATGTATTAAATATACCTTCGACCAACGTATTGACATAACAAATCATTAGCTAACAACTCAAGTGGCTTGTTTCTATCAGTATCCACTTTGATCAACGATACAGTTTTATTCTTCTTCCAATAACTGTGCTAGCTGATAAGAGGAAGAGATCGGATATGGTTTATGTCCTCCTGCAAGTTACAGGAATTGTCTCTCTTTGGCGGATGGTTAACTGTATATATTTATAATAGTAAAACCCTAAAAACATAATTATTATTATGTCCTTAATTCACTTAATTACATATTAACACCTTAATTTTTATTAAGTGTGTATTTAGAACCGAAATCCAAATTGCTGAATTTTAAGTGTGACCTAATAAATTCCCATAATGTTGGCAGTAACAGAATATATTCAACATCTATTAAGCAGATCGTCAAATATTCTCCAACCAACTACAGTCACAAAATAAAGGTACCATATTAAAAACTGCTACATATGGAGACTAAATTACAGAAAACGCTTTATGTATTTGGGCAAAAAATCATTTTAGTCCCAAACATTTCAACACATTTTCGTCCAAAATACAATTTTTTGACTATTTACGTTCCAAATCCAATCTGACATTCAAAATGCAAGAGCATTTTTGTATTTTAGCCTAACTGGTTTCCATTAATTAAGCTACAAAATAATAATTAATTAATAATAAAATTAATTAAAAATATTTTCAAATTCCAGAAATCAAAAAATCAAAAAAAATTTTTTTACTTTTATTCGTTGGGACCTCTGCAATGTAATTGCGTAATTTAAATGTAATCAAATAATAATAAAATCTTTCAAATTCTAAAAATTTCAAAATTCAAAACTCAATAGTTGGTCTCCATATACCTTGTGGATCCACTACAAACCAGAGAACTTTTTTGTACCGAATTACCATAGCAAATTCTAATCGTAATTAAATTGAAATAAATTTTTTTTTTGTCAAGAAAATACTTGATACTTTTTCAGCCACCCTGTTCTTGTAGAAATTAGGGCTTCAATATTTGTAGCAAGAAGCAGAGAGGCAGCACATGATATGGGCGAGGCAGCTGCAAAAAACCAGAGGAAGCGCAACTCCGCATCGATGAACACGGGTTTTACTCCTCCTCGATCAGAAAAGGTTCATATTGGTCATCTACCACAATTTTTTTATGGAAACAGTCGGTTTAATCAGAAAAAGTGGGTGGAGTACTTCCGGGTGATTCACAACAGTCGGGTTAGTTAGTGTTAGTTTTATTTTGAAAAGAAGTTAGTTTTTAATTTTTAATTAATTGTTCATTAATTATAGCCCAAATACAGGAGTAGTTCCTTTAATTCCTTTCTCGCTGATGTTGTAATTGTTGACAGAGGCTCTCAGTTAGGAGGTTCTCTACAACGATGCAGTGACGGACATGTGAGGTGACCCGGATAGAGAAAGTGGAACGGATCCATTTTTCCCGTCGGCTTGGAGATAACTGTTGACGGCCGAAGCCCTGCTGGCTGCCGCCATTTGATGAGCTCAATTGAAGTCCTGAAGATGAAGTTGAAGGCATGCCTTTTGGGCTGCCGAAAAAATGTGTCGGAAGTGGTGCTAGAAAATATGCCACCAACTATGTTCTGTTGGGCCCGAGTTCCCCTCAAATTGGGCCCAGCAGTGATTGAAACCAAATCAATTTGGTTTTAGGAACAAAACCCACTCCAATTGGATTTTTGTTTTTTAGGTTTTTTTTCTCAATAAAAACAAGGTTTTGGCATAATTTTTAGATGTGTATTTTCAGCCAAGAGAGAAGAAAAGTTTGGGCAGCCGTGCATTATTTTTGTACGAGAGAAAAAGAAAGAAAGCTAGGGTTTAGTTTTCGGTTTAGCTCTCTTTTGGTTAGATCCTTCCAGTCCTACTTTGTGATAGGTGTGTATGGAAGAGTATTGTTGTAATCCATCTTTGGGTGAAGTTCTGTGTATCCACCAGTCGGTGAAGACTGTTTTCCCATTATTGTGATAGTGGAGATTTGACTGTTGTTACGGTCCCATGGTTTTTCCCGATTTGGGTTTCTACGTAAATTTGCGTGCCTCCTTTATTTTATCAGTTCTTGAATTAGTTGCTTGCTTGGGTGGTTGTCCTATTTTATTGGTAGTAGGAAAAGAGATTTTCTTGGGGTTCGCTTTCGTGGTTTGTTGTATTTATACCCTTTCCGCCACAAAAGCTTGTATGCCGTCTCAACAAAAGCTTGTATGGGTTGAAGCAAGCTCCGAGGCAATGGTACAAGAAGTTTGATGCCTTTATGATAGGGCAGGGATACCAAAGGACTACAGCTGATCATTGTGTGTTTGTGAAGAAATTCTCTGATGGTGATTTTATAATTCTTTTGCTTTATGTCGATGACATGTTGATTGTTGGTCATGATACTGCAAAGATTGCTAGGTTGAAAAAGGAGTTGAATAAATCCTTTGCGATGAAGAATTTGGGTCCGGCTAGACAGATCCTTGGGATGAAGATTTCTCGTGACAGACAGAATGGGAAGCTTTGGGTATCTCAAGAGAAGTATATCGAGAAGGTTCTTGATAGATTTAACATGAGCGGTGCTAAGGAAGTCTCGACTTCACTTGCAGGGCATTTTAAGCTAAGTAAAACGCAGTGTCCTAAAAGTGAGAAAGATAAGGAAGAGATGAAAAAGGTTCCTTATGCTTCGACAGTTGGCAGCCTAATGTATGCGATGGTTTGCACAAGGCCACACATAGCTCATGCAGTTGGGGTTGTTAGTCGGTTTCTCTCCAATCCTGGTAAAGAGCATTGGAATGCTGTGAAATGGATTCTCAGGTATCTTAGGGGTACTTCCAGATTGAGTCTTTGCTTTGGCAATGGGAAGACCATGTTAGATGGATATACAGATGCTGATATGGCGGGTGACCTGGATGATCGGAAGTCTACTTCTGGTTACTT